CGCTCCCAAACCATTGATAGATCTGTATTTTTTGAGAAATTCTCATAATGTTGAAAGAAATTTACTGACCAATCCCTGACTACAATTATGTGTGAAATTCCTAATGGACCATGTCCCTTTTTCAAATGAGGATAGTTTGCCCATGCAATCAGCTCCACCCGCCCTCCCCCAAATAATTCTTGTAAGACTGCTTAATCCCATAGTGTGTGTAACATTTGGATGAAACAGAGTGGGTAACAATAGCGTTAGAACTTCTTGAACAGTTAAAGCAGGGGAGTTGTCACCTGTGCACGCATGGGAATTGAGTCTCAAGCGATAATAAAACACATGGTAAAAACGAAAAGGATCACTTCATGCTATGGCCGTCTGCCGCATGTGCAGGTGATGACTCCCTTGCTTTGAGCGTGCATTGGGCGTTCCTGAATGATCAAATACACATTTAATTGAAACGATTTTCACTGCAATTTGCATCATGAGAAAGAAAAAAAAAACATTATATTCCATCAGACCAAGCAATCCATCCCTCAATCTGAAATCATCATCCCGTATGGTAATTATAATGAATGCTTTTATTTGTTTCTTTAGCTTCAAAGCTCAATGTTCTGTTCATAGTAGTTGATGACCTGAGACCAGCTCTTGGATGTTATGACAATGTGACGCAATATTTCACTCCAAACATTGATCAGCTGGCTGCCAATTCTATCAAGTTTACCAATGCACATGTACAGGTACGATCTATACTCATGCTTCAAAATATAATCACATAGCAAGTCTACAGGCAGTAAATGTATTGGCTTAAATCACTGTGGAATACTATATTTTCAGGAATTGTGTTCTAAGAGATGTTAAAGCGAGGGAGTCATCACTTGTGCATGCGTCAGATGGCCATAGCTTGTCATTGTTTACAAACAAGCGTCTACCCATGAGCATTTGCGTTTTTATCGTGTGTTGTTCAATTCCCGCGCGTACGCAGGTGATGACCCTCTCGCTTTAACAATGCATGCTAGAAACATAAAGGCTCATGGGTAGACACTTGTTTGTAAACAATGACACGCTATGGCATTTGGCCACATTGGCAGGTAACGACTTCCCCGCTTTAAAAGCGATAGTGAATTTTCCCTCATAGGAATGAACTAAAATTATTAAACTGTAAGAATTGACAGTGACAACAATAGATTTGATGTACAGTATCTGAGGGAGAATCAAGATGGATATGTTAATGACGTCATTTTCATTTGTTGACGCAGCAAGCATTATGTGCACCAAGCCGAGCATCGTTTCTAACTGGTCGTCGCCCTGACACCACCAGAATCTATGATTTGAATAGCTATTGGAGGAGTCTTGGTGGTAACTTTACTACTCTGCCACAACATTTCAAAGAGAATGGTTATTACGCTGCATCGGTTGGAAAAGTCTTTCATCCTGGTAGGTCACATGACACATGTTTTATTGTCGGCAAAACTCAATAATGGAAGCTATAGTGTTCGTGAGTTAAACCCATTGAAAGCTAACTACAATAAATCCCATCATGCATTGCTGTTCAAATTCCGTTTTTGACTCCCATGTGCGAAGCACATAATTGACTCCCATGTGCGAAGCACATAATGGGAGTCTTTGCAGTTAGTGTGTGTGTGTGTGTGTATGTGTGTCCGACTGTTCCACTGCTATTTCAAGAACCATACATCGGTTTTTGATGAAACTTGGTGCATAGATGCTCTGGGCCAATGCGCAGATTTGATCAGGTTTTGGTGAAAATCCATGCTCGTTAATTACCTAATTTGCATGATAATTAG